AAAACTCTTTGTTTTAAGGCAAGAAAAAGGTCAGGGACTTTTGCATCATGTAATTATTTCATTGTTTAAATCTTTATATAATAGCAAGTATTTGTTCCATAATTAATGAGAGACTTGAAAGAGTAGTTTTCAACATAGAATAGCATGTTGTCTCCACCAGGTATTTTTCTGTCTTCTTTCATTTTCGAATCTCACTCCCCTGCTTGAGGTCTGGGTAAACGGGCTTTGTTTATTAAATCTCATTATTTTACAGCAAGGTAAATGATAGCCACATCTAGCATCTGGTAGCAGCTGTAATGCTACTATCAAGAGAGTGCCATATCAGCAGTTTCCCCAGCTACCGGTGCTTAACTAGTGGAATTACAGGTCCCAACATGTCAAAGTATGTGGTAGATGCTTATTTTTTAGCATGTGAGCTGTCTTTCAAATGCATGCTGGATTTGGACCTCAGCTTCTTAAATACCATTGGATTTATCAGACAACATTCTGCAAATTCCCACTACTACTTACAGCTCTTTTAAAATTTGGCATTAAATCTCCTTTATTTCAGCCTTTTAAAAACTCCTTCTCTACAAATCTCTGTAATGGAATTTATTACCTTCCTGTGGTACTCATATGAAAATACAAGTAAATAGAGACTCTAGGTCAAATTCAATGCTCGTTTGCTTTTTTTTATTATTTGGGGTTTTTTTAAACAGCTTGGCATCACTATTGTTTATATTCTTTCTTTCTTTTTTTTTTTTTTACTTTAATCTAGAAGGTTGTTTCACCATTTCATTAGGCAGTAGGATCTCTATCACAAGTAAATCACACTGTATTCCATACCAGCAGCTTTTATTAGAAAAGGGGAAGCTTCTGAACTGTTGATCAAGAAATGCATGGGAGAATGACTGCACCTTCTGATGTGCTTGTGCTGCCTTCTGAGACTAAAGAAAAAAAAAGAATAAATAGTGACACCTCAGTCAACCTTCTGATTGTCATTAGAGCCATTTATTTACTCTCATCAGAAGCACTCCTGAAATGTTTTTAAGTTCATTTGGGTGAATTATAGATGAATGGAATACTTTTGCGATCATACCGATTTATCACTAATTTACTAATCACCAAATGTAAGTAGTAACTCATATTATGAATATCAAGGGCAGCTAGTACTAAAAAGTACCTATGTTCAATAATAAATTCTAAGTCTCATTGCCATCTCTACTAGGCTTCATCAAATCATATGCTTGATTTCTTTGGGCTGAATGAAGGCCTTTCTGATTACCTATTGTGCTGAAACCTTAAATAAACTGTCATTTGCTCCTTTTCCACTACTGACCATTGTACAGAGACAGGCTTTTAAGTGAGAAGGTGGCTAATTTAATCAGACTGAAGAAAGGAACAATTATATTCTGGAAATATTTTCTTGAGGAACTCTTTGCTACAAGATATCATTAAGGTCAAGGGTCTATAAGGCTTAAATACTGATTGAATGCAAACTCTCAGAGTTACATTGGGGTTAAAAGAATATAAACCTTCATGCCTCAAGGCAGATGTCAGTTTTTAACTCATGCAGATTGGGAAGAAATTTCCCTCTAGCAACATGATTTCCGAGTTACCATCATCTGTGTTCTCTCACCTTTCTAAAAAACTACGTCGTCACAGTGAGATTCTAGAGCAGCTGTGTCAGTGCCTAAAAGCAGTGTAGCAAGTCTGATGCTTACCTATAGCCTCAATTTCAAACACCGAATATTTGAAGAATTTCATGAACTACTGTTTTTTGATGAGATTATTTTCAGTGGTTTTGGCTGTGTAGTGTATGTCTTGACATGTATGCCCTCCAAAAGGCTTTATAAATAAATCTGTGACAGCAAACAGCATGGTTCCATTTTTTTTGTCTCAAGTCTTTCTCTGAGACTGGACCATCAATTCTGTTGTAATATTTGTTCTTTGGACACTAGCAGTCATCCTCTTTCAGAGAATCATTCTGTTCCTTTCAAATGCGTTACAATCGATCTAGCTCAAATGATGGCAAATAGTCATTAGTGTCCTGTGGAAAGTTCCTGTTCAGCTCCAGCTCCTTTCTGTGATCTGTTCTGGTGTGATCTTAGATTCTTTAAGGCAGTTTTGGTGAGATTTCTAATTTTTATGAACCAGGCTGTAGTTTTCACCAACTGATAGTGCATCTTGCATTAGGCTGTCCGTTTATGCAAATGAAGGTTTATATGCTGAGAACATTATATCTCTGTGTAGTCTCTGGTAAACTAGCAAGAAGTATCTGTGTAAAACCTGTGAGCAGTCCTGACCACTAACATTGGACATGGAAGAACACTCAGTGTGCCTTGATGGCAGGTGGAAGAGTGAGTCTGATCAGATAGTGAGTCTTCTGGTTTTTGCTCAGGTGCAGAGATCAGCTATTGAAGAAGGAGGAGGTGTTGTATTAAGTATGTAATAAGAAGGGGTCTATCCTGAGGCAGCGGAAGATTATTGCCCAAGAAGGTAGTTTTGTGCTGAATCCAGAGCAGGTGTCAATAGAGACTGCTTAGCTGAGCTTTTGGGTGTGAATGTGTTTAATGCTGATGGGCCAGGGCCTCCTATGAAGTCAGGGTGTCTCTCAGGGTTACAGTGAGGGGCAGTGGTAGGTTGCAAAAGGCAATGTGAGCTTGAAGACAGAGTATTTTTAATGGTCGAGACAAACCAAATTTCAGTTTTCTGTGGTGGAAAACTACCTTGAAAAAACAGCTTGACAAAGTGACAGCGCAGCTGTCCTATTTAAAGCAAAACATGACAGGTTTTGTGACCTGAACTTGTGTGAGATCATTGTCCTCATTGACCCTTCCAGCTGGACCGGAGAGGCCTTAGATGATGCACAAGCAAGGCAGAGGCTCTTTCTAGAGAGCAGAATCCTGAGCCAATAGTAGCTCCTTCGTGGAGACCAGTAAAACTCTGCCTGAAAAATAACTAACTGAAAGTGTCAGCTGTCTATGCTATCCATCATTTAATGAGCAGCATCTGTATGCATATTTTAAATACTTGCAGACCATTGACAGGATGTAGCCAACGCAGATGCGCTGAAGACACAGTGTATTGAGACTTCAATCATATTCCTCTAAATGTAGCAGGGAGTTGTCTGACTCAACCTCTATACACTATATGAAAATGCAAGCTTCTCTCTTGGTGAAACAACCATAAATGAATATATTTTATTCTTTTGAGCTTTCGAATATTGTGTTAATAGTTAAAGGGGGCTTACTGAAAGAATTATCTGAATCTACAAACATCCAAAGTGGAAACACATTAAATAATATAAGAAATGTCAAATGCAGTGAAATGGAGATTTTAAACAATTTTTAGTCAGACGTAAATAAATGAGATATTCCCTCTTACTTGGACAACATCTATGTCCAAAAAATCAACCTGATTCTTTATGTAGTAACATAGATCTCTTTATCTACAGTGTACCGTGTGGTAAAGTATTGCTTTCTGTCTCAGACATTGTTAGTCTTGGTTTTGAGCATCAGCTAAAATGTTCAAGCCAGCTTTGCAATGTTTATCCAAATGTTTCTGAGATTTCCTTTATTTTGACCAAATTCATAATACTTTACAAGTATTGATACCACTTGAAACCCACTTGGTATCAATTTATAAATGAACGTAACCTCTGCATCTCAGATTTAGGAGTTAGTTCCTGGTGTTCCTACCATGAGGGATGTGTGAATTACATCAGGGTGTCTTCTGTCATGGCTAACAAAATGTTCTGGTTTTCTGTAGGAAATGCTATTAGGCCCATCGCCCTCCGTGCAGTGTCTGCCATAGCCCGTGCTCTCCCAGGATTTCCCATCTTAGCAACTGGAGGCATCGATTCTGCTGAAAGTGGGCTCCAGTTTCTGCACAGTGGGGCTTCTGTTTTACAGGTACCTTTTCTTTCTTTAAAACATTAAAATTAAAAAAACTGTAATTAAACCCACAATGTATCTTTCTTTCAAACATTAGGATAGTGGGGGTTTTATACCATTGAAAGGAATTGTCATGTTTTTAGCTTCATGCGTCTTGCTAAAATTCATTCATTTCAGATGGAGGAGGAGAAGTTGCCAAAAGAAGAGTTTGGGTGTCACAATACCAATCTGGGAAAAGGCTAGCCATGAGTATGTTACCACTTTTTTTCTCTGACCTATAGGATTTAAATTTTAAACATCTGTCCCTTGTCATACAAACAAGATTGACACAGAGTTAAGCTTCAGCTATCCGATCTTGCTTTATTTTCAGGTTTTGTCTTCTGCAAAGAGCCTTTTCAATGGGAGAGGGATTTCAGAGAGCACTGTTTTCGTCCCACTGGGAGCCAGTTTAAAGTAACTCTTGTTTATCCACGCATCTGTGTCCCTTAAGCATGTTTATTGGAACAGGAGGTGCAGAGCTATACCTCCTGCATATGGTGCTGGCATTGCAGCCCATTGTATTGGAGTGAGGTGTCGGACTGCATGCAGTAGTTGAAGGCTGTTTGTATTGCCGGATGGGTTGTTTTGTGGTCCTGGCCAGACTGGCATGGTTGGTTAGCCTCTGTCATGGAAAGAAGCCTTGGTGGCCTGTTATTATGGGCACCAGGAAATTGACTGGAAATCAGCCCCTTACTTGCTCTACTAGGCATGTCAGGGCACCATTGCAGCATATATGTTAGAACAGCTGATAAGGAGGAGGTGGTGGTTATGTTATATTATTCCATTATATATGGTTATGTTCTGCTAGATATTCATCCCCTTTGTCTGTAGTTCCTATCATAGACAACAGCAGCTGTGGATCCTGTGGATATCAGCTTTGTGTCACTCCATGGGATGACTGGAGTGTTTTCATTCCCACAATTCACTTTGGCATTGAAATTGGATTCAGTGTGACCATCCTTTCTGCACAGCTATGGTGACTGCTGAGATTAGTCATTTGTTTGCTATGTTTCAAAAAATAAAATAAAATAGACCAACTCAATTGTTTGGTTTCATTGGGTTTTTTAGTGTACATCAAAGTTAGCATCTGTGGGAGCTGCTTTGGATTTATTAATACCATTTCCTGTTTTTTTAGTTTGTATTAGAATGCTTCAAACTCTTCTTTTCCCTTGGACAGACAAAAGATCTACCTTTCTTACACAATGATCTGAGAGCTTCTTCCATATAAATACTAAGTAACGATACAAATTAAAGAGCAGCATTTGTCTACAAAAAAGTAGGATTGGCAAGGGAATGTTGTTAGTGCTATAGATGCATTTCATTTGTTGCTGCTAATAGAGCTGCAGTTTTGATGGCTTTGTCTGTAACAATGTTATGTGATCTGAACTACACAGAGTGGAATGATTTTCTGTTCGACCTCTTATGTATCTGTTTCTGGATGACTGAAAATGAAGTTTTTTAGTGTCATTTATGCACTTTTCCTTTATATAGACTGTATAGATGTTTATTTTTTTATCATTTATTTTCTTTTTTGTTGATTTGCCCCAGTGGTAATGGGAAATTCTGAAATATAATTTAATGCAGACATCCCAGTCAGTGCTCAAGAGAAAGAGTATTGGATTTAAAAAACATTAATTATTGTTTTCTTTTTAGTAATAAATTCTGTGGAACTGGTTCCAGAAGTTACTTGGATCTATACTGATCTTCTGCCCTTTACAAAACAATTTCTCTTTTCAACACATTTTTCCCGAAGATGGTGAAAAAACTCTTTTCTTGTCCTTAGGCTTCACCAGTTTAACTTAAATCATCTTTAGAACTGATTTTAAACTCCTCTGGATCAAACCTATCCTCAGTTTCTGTTTCACTGAAGTAGGGTAGTCATTTAAACTAATCTGAGATAAATGGATTCTAAAGCTGCTGTGTAGGTAAGGGTCTGAACTAGTTCAATTACGTTTATTTAAAAATAAGCCTTTGGTAAACTTCATGCAAGATTGTGAGTACAGGCCATAAGTCTTTCCTTCATCTTGGGAACGGCAAATGGAAGGGAGAGGGAAATGAGTAATCTCTATAGACAGTCCCACAAGAAATATGCTTGGCTGGGACTAGACTGAAACTTTGCTGCTCAGGCAAGATATGTTGTGATAGACAGAAGAAGACAGCATCATCTTCATAGATCATGTTTGGAACCTCATTAGGATTATGACAATCATTGCTGTTATTTTTCTTCTTAGCAATGTCATATGGATAGCTGGCTAATATACTTTTCCCTGAATCCCAGTCTCTCTCATGTGTCCTTGATATCAAATGCCCAAGTTGTTCCTTCTTCAACAGTCAAAACCTCTGTTGCTTGTCATAACAGCTTTGACAGTTCACTTCAGCTTTCTCAGTACCAAAATACAGAGCAGATACAGAATTTGGAGATAGCATCAAATAAACTGACCTACTGAATGATTCAGTATATTAAGATTCACTACATAGTAAGTCCCCAAGTTAAGTAGGTAGAAGCTGTGACTGAACTGGGGGAATTATATATGCGTCCCATAGCCTTATGCTAAGTATCTCCTTTAGACACTATTGGAGATGGTGCTGAATAGTCATTTGGACTGACACAATACTGCACATTTTGTGATCTTACTTCACATTTCCAAAACCACAAAGACACCTTATGACTGATCCAGAGGCAGAAAACAAGCAGCCTGGGCTTTGGCAGTGCTGGAGTGAGCTCAGTGCTCAGCTGTGCTGAAGTAGCTGTAGTCTCAAAACCTGGGGGTGGGTACTGCCACTGCTATCACCACCCTGTTACACAGAATAGCATGTGGATATTTCCTTGTCAGCAGTATTTTAAAAGGGTAGGGAATGTCAGTTCATCCAGCATTAAATGCGGTCTGATACTACTAAGCAGCACAGGTTGTATTGATCCATCCTTGGAGCCCAACTAGAGAGCCTGGGAGAGCAGCACACTTGCGTGGCCATTGGACTTCGCTTCATTTTGCCTAGGCAAGACTCCTGGTGTCTTCTCTGCCATGAGAGGATGACGTTCATGAGCTAAGATAATACGAAGGCTGTGTGTGAGTTGATTTAATTGCAATGTGGCATATCTCTTAGAGAAGAGGTTTATGAATAATAAATGTACCTCCATTAAAGGCAAGATCAGGTTTTCCTCTGCAGCTATTCCACCTAGAATCATTTCTCCATTATTTTTTCCAATTGCTTTTATTTTTAAAATGTGGGGATTTGTTTTCCATTTGCAAAATCGTCATACACAGGAATGCAAGTCAGGAGTCAGGTGGTAAGCCATATTTTGATATATGCTGTAACCACCTCAAGTGGTATTTAAGCAGGTATATTAGGCAATGGTTTGGGGAGAGAGTTTCAGTACTCAAAGTGTGTTCTATCCCCTCCTTTAGAAGATGGAGGGCAACATCTTAGTGTCATTACTAGCAAACAGTTCATGTGTAAGAAAGTTTTGCAGCAGGTACATAAAACAAACTGGGTCATTGTAGTCAGTAGTAGCTGAGATTAAAATTTTATACCGCAGTTTAACAGAGCATTCTTCCACTTTATGGACCTCAGAAACAGTTGCAAAAAGACCTCGCTTTTTTTTTAATTTTTCATTTAAAATGCTGAAATATTTCAGTCATTCTTTAGCTGCTTCCATAGCACTATACTTTTTTGTAACATACCCAAATCAACCAATCCCTTTTCAGGACAGGCATGAAATTAAAAAAAAAAAAAACAAACACAACGCTATCTATGGAGAGAATCCTGTATTCATTGCATACTAAGAGCTCCAGAAATGTCTAGCTGCATCTTTGAGGTAAAGTTCATTACTATAGGCTTCCACTGAGGTTGAAGTATTTTTTTTAATTTAAATAAGCTTTTTTTAAAGCCCAAATTTATCAAAATAAGACGTATATCAGATTTTTTTGCATCTATTGCATCATGTATGTGATTTACCATGTCACATGGATGCTTTGTTAGATTTTTGCAAGACTCTGAAAGACACATACATTTTTCAAAGTCATCTCACTGTAGGAAATTAAAAATGGACACAATTATAGAAAATTCCAACGGAAAAAGAAAATGCATTATGGAAAAAGCAATAAAAGCGTAAAAATATTAAAGTAAAAATCACTTCACAGTAGCCTGTATGATTCAATTGTAGATCAATATTGTGTAGTTAATGCATTAGCAGTAGAGCATTAATTTGCAATTACCGCAGGTGATCTGATCCTCTATGTTCTGTCCATTGACATAAATGACCTTTTCTTGAAAGAGATTCAGTAGTCATTATTTCTAGCAGATGTAACAAAAAAAAGGATAGAACAAAGGAGTACTTTCTGAAGTATACTTGTTTCATGCTAGAGTCTCTTAACATTATATTCTGCTATGGAATACTTTTGTTAATCTTTAATATTGGTCATGAATGTGTAAAGAATATGTGTTCCTTTTCACGTAGATTTCTTTTACAAAGTATGGAGGTCACATATGTCCGCTGTTGCTCCAACAGGGATGTCTGTAAGTCGCTCTACATAGCAGTGATTTAAAATCTACCTGTATAATGCTGCTTCCCGGCAGGACAGCCTGTAGCTTCGCCCTGAGCCCTGTTTCACACCTGCCTTCATGCATCTCCATCTCCCACTTGCCCTGGACGGGACATAGTACCTTGCAGTCCTGTTCCTACAGGCACTGTGCTCTTGTCCTCACCATGTCGTATTCAGACCGTGCACACCTGCTGCCTCCGGACCTTGCACCATGACCCTCCTTATCTCTCAGGCAAGGGAATAAGGTGGAAATATACCCCACCTCAGAGGCAGAGCCGCCGTGATGTTGGCTTTGCTCTATGCTCTTCTCTCCTGCCTCACACCAGTTGTGTGTGAGATCTCAGGGATATGAGGAAGAACAAAACTGTTCTGGAAGTATGACAACCCATGATAGGAAAGCAATAGTGATGTTTTTGGCATCTGCAAGATAAAATC